AGTTTTAAGTTTCTATTACTTGTAACCAAAGCAATCCTAACACATCTGATCTTGACTTTTAGCCTTAAAAAAGGAAGGGCACTCTGACACACGCTATAACATGGATGATCCCTGAAGGCATTATGCTAAGTGGAATAAGCCAGCCACAAAAAGACGAATACTATACAATTCCACTTATGTGAGGTCCCTAAAATAGTCATAGTCATAGAAACAGACAGTAGAGCAGTGGTCGCCAGGGGACGGGGTAGGGGAATGAGGAGTTACTGTTTAATGGTGTTAATGAAAACATAAAAGTTCTGGAGACGGACAATGGTGACGATTGCACAATAATGAGAATGTACTTAATGCCACTGAACGGGACACTTAAAATGGTTGAAATGGTAAAATGTATGTTATATATATTTTATCACACTTTAAAAAAATTAAAATGTTTTTAATGTTTATTTATCCTTGAGACACACACACACCCAGAGTGTGTGAGGGGGGAGCGGCAGAGAGAGAGGGAGACACAGAATCTGAAACAGGCTCCAGGTTCCAAGCTATCAGGACAGAGCCCAGGGCGGGGCTGGAATCCACGAGCCATGAGATCATGACCTGAGCGGAAATCAGACACTTAACCGACTGAGCCACCCAGGTACCCCTAAAACCATAATTTTTAACAAAATCAGATTTATATAGTCCATACTATGTTCTCCTGGAAATGACACTGAAATGTTCTCCCCAGTACAGCCTTCAAAACATGTGCTGCATAGCCGAGAAAGGATTTGTATCCAGAACATATTTTTTTAAAAAAAACTTTCAAACCTTAACAGTAAGGAAACAACCAACGTGATCACAAGATGGACAAAGGGTGTGAACAGACCCTTCACCAGAGATGATATGTGGATGCAAAGACATACGTGAGAAGATGTTCAACATCGTTAGCCATCAGAGGAAGGCACGCTGAGACCATGATGAGATATCACCACATATCTGTCAGAATGGCCAGAATAAAAATTACTGACAAAAACACGTACTGACAACAGTGTGTGGTCACCAGGGCTCTCACACATCGGTAGGAAAGCAAGATGGCACAGCCACCCCGGAAGGATGCGGAACCGCCAGGTGAACGGCTTGCGGATTAGGATGGTCAGACGGTGTGAAAGCATCACTCCCCGGATTACTCTCCCAGCAAAGGGAAAAACATACCTTTTTAGGGGAGATCTGGCAGTCAAACCGGAGCCATGCCCAAACCCAGCATCACCAAGAAAGACACAGCAGGCCCTCTGCGGCCCCAAGGCGATGCAACATGGAAAACACAAAATCTTCTGTCAAATACGGCTGCCCAAATGTTTAATTTGAATTTCAAGCCTCTCGGCCCAATTTCCAATTTGCGGAAAATAAAAGAGGATGAGGAACAAGCTAAATGACACCACGAGGAAACAATCAGACAAATTCAGAGTGTGGGATATTCTAGAAATCTACTAACAGGGCATAGTTCAAATGCTACTTCTTCCAGAAAGCCCTCTCTGACTGTTCCTGTCCCACCAGTATTCAGTTGGGTCTCCTGCTGCCTGCCTCCTTTGGCACCTGTTTCCCCATCACAAAATCAATTAAGCTTTACTGCAACTGCTAGGTGTCTGCCTTCCCACTAGGTTCTAAGTCTCTTGAGAGGTGGGACAGGGTCTGTCTTGTTCCCTGAGTGCTGTATGCCCAGCACTGAGCACAGTGGAAAAACCTACACTTCATGAAAAAACTAGAAAGAAAGCGAGATGCCAGGTAGTCACGTCACAGGTTGCAATGCCTGTCCAAGGCAGACCTGAGGTCTGCCCAGTCCAGCTGTGCCTCTCAGATGGCCCCTCTATCCTCTCTGCCCTGTGCCCTGCTTCACACCCCCTCCCACTGGCCCGTCTGTCTGGAGCAGAGAGTCCCCGGGAGCAGCTGAGGCTTCTTCCTGGGAATGAGGAAGCATAGACCACAATGGCGTCTGAGAGGCCCCAAGGGTTTCCTCCTGCTCCCTCACGGGAGGCCTTCAGCTGGAATTAGCCACCACGGAAACCCCTTCTTACTCAATCTTAGCAGCCAGGCCTGCGTGATTTACAAAGCCCAGACTCCCCAGGCTCGGGTTCCCACCAGGCTCAGCATCACCAGGACCAGAAGTGCTGGGTTTCCTCACTTCCTCTAAGTCAGTACAGAGACGAACTGGTGGAGGGGAGGGCTGTGGGGTGGGGGTACACCATGACCGGGGGTTTGGGGTAGAGCTGGGCAGACGGCCAAGCCGCGGTGTCTCCCAAATTCCCAGAGGCCTGCAGGCTCGGCTAACACATCTCACATTTACCTAGCCAGGAATGGAGGCGCACAAGGGCAGAGGCCTGCCTGAGGTCACAAGCTCTCAAGTTCAAAATGAGGACTCTGGTCCAGGTGACCTCAAACCCTGAAGGCTTTGCTGCACCAGGGAGTCGTGCCTCCACCCCGGCAGCTGGACCACAGCTGAACTGTGGGCCTGTGGGAAGATGTGTGCTCCTTCTTCTGTTTTTGAGAGCCTGCCAGGAGGCTGTGGAACTCAGGAGTTAAGGCGGCCATGATTCACCTCTGCTTTCATCTCGACGACTGCATGGCCTTGGGAAAGTGGTTGAAACTCTCTGTGACTCAGCTTCCTCTCTGTAAAAATTGAGGATCCTAACAGTTTCAACCTCGGTGTTGGGGTGATGATTACATGAGACTGCCCAGCGTGCCCAGCATGGTGCCCGCACGCAGTAAATTGTCCATGTTGAGAAGCTACCGTTACCATCAACACTATGAGCTAAACACAGGGATGTAAATCTGAGGGAGACATTGTCTCTGCTCACTGCCCCTACAGATGTGCCTCCCACGACCCACCCACCAGCTCCCATCTCTCCACCCCCTCCAGGGCCCTGCCTCTTCTGTCTTCTCTAGGCCCCGTGGGGGTCAGAGGGACTGGGCTCTGTAGGGCCTGGGCACACAGGCCCTGCTCACTTGAGCTGGGGCACACATTTCTTAGCTGTCAGATGAGTCAGGGCTCTGCCCCCTCCTACTCTCACCCCCGGGCCTCAGCCTCAGTGGACAGGAGCTCTGTGTCTGGCCCAAATGCAGGGTCACCACATACCTGTGAGCCTGCTTGGTGCCAGGGCTTGACCCACCCTGGCCTTTCCCTCCTCTACCAAGGGTTGCAGACTGTTCCAGAGAGTCCTAGGTCAGTCTGACCTTGCACGAGGTACCTCACAAAGGATGAAGAAGCCCATATGTTCGTGGATGGTGTTAGTTGTGGCCTTGGCCACAGTGACCCCTGTCTTCTGAGGGACTCCCCTGTCCTGAGGCCTCTAGACGCTACTTTTCTCAACATAGGCTGCTCTCAGAAGACAGAAAAAAACCCACCCTCTGGTAGATGCTGAGAGTCCTTGGACCCCCCACTTGAGAAGCACCACCTGCTCTGCCTGTCCCATGGCCACAGCTGACCGATCCAGGGCGGCCAACCAGCTTCTCTCCCAGGAATCCTCTAGAATCAGACCAGATGTCAGCTCTAGCCAGGAGGAAGGTTGCAGCCTGAGTTCCTCCACACTCCAAATGTGACAGACATTTGGTGTACAGAGACGGACAAAGGAAGGGAAGGCACCGAGAGGAGAGGCAGGGAGAGCCCGCTAGGCGCTGGCCGGTGCTTCAGGTCCCAGCAGGGCCCACCCGCCCGCCCAAGGCTTCTATGACGCACGACAGGGGCCTGGGCCTTCCAGTTAATTCCCCTTTTGGCGAGCAGAGAGTTTTATGCAACTAAAAGAATTCTATGATACACAGAAGAAAGTTCAGGCACTATCTTAGGTAAAAAGAACAGACGAAAAAAGAAATGCAATCTCCATCTTCAAAAAAGTGATATGTACTGTACGTAAATGTAGGTGTGTGCATGCATATGCATCATCTGTGGTAGCTATGCTCTATAAAGGCCTTGAGAACACTGATTTAGCAAATACTGAATCACTGCGCCTGGGGAAAATACAAGGTTGGGGTCCCGCAAGGCTCTGCTTCCAAGATTTTCATTAACTAATCAGTATACAGCCTGGCTGTTTCTGTGTAAAGACACCTTACTTAGCGTATATTATAAATTCATGAATATTGAACTCTGGGCCAGTGATCCTATATCTCATGCGTACATGAAGCTTATCTAACACATGTATTTTCTCCGCTGTGACGCATCACAGGCTTCCTGAGCTCAGGGATGTTAGACAGCACTCTAGCACTATGTTTGGGGTCATGTTAAAAAGTGACATAACTGGGGCACCTGGGTGGCTCAGTCGGTTATACGTCCAACTTCAGCTAGGGTCATGATCTCACGGCTTGTGGATTCGAGCCCCACATTGGGCTCTGTGCTGACAGATAGCTCAGAGCCTGGAGCCTGGTTCTGATTCTGGGTCTCCCTCTCTCTCTCCCCCTCGCCTGCTCACACTCTCTTTCCTTCTCTTCCTCAAAAATACACATTAAAAAAACAAAAGTGAAATAACTAACAAAAGTACAAAAGTGTAAAAAAAAATGGCACTAAAGGGATTATGAAAAAGACACTTGTTTAGTGCACAAGAGCTGAAACCTGAAGTGTCACCCTGTCCAACCTCCGCTGGGCACACGCACACCATGTTCTTTGCTGTGCACATGTCCATTGTCTGCAAGTGACACTAAAGCACAGTAAGTTTTGATGCTGGATTACGAATTTACAAATACTGCAGGTTGACTGTGGGGCATATAAATGTGTGTGTTCCGTGTATAAACCAGTGAGATACAGATCATATAGATCATATATATGGTTTGCTTGGGTTGGCGGGAATATGTAGGACTTTTTTTTTTAAATTCTGTTCTTGAAATCTTCTTGTATTTTTCAGATTTCCTTTTATAATCAGAAAAAAGGAAGACAGAAGGGGCTGTGGCCCACTTTCCTGTCTTGAGCCCTGGACGGCATCTTCTGTCACTTCCCAGGCTCAGGCCGGAGGCCACGTCTCTGGAATATCCTTCCACATCGCAGAGCACCTAGTGCCGGGACAGCCGATGGCACGGGTAAGAGCATGGGGTGGGAGGAAGCCGGGAGGTGGCCATTTGGGGTTTGCCCCGGCCTCGCTCTGGTAGTTAGGGTAAGTCCTCGGCCTCTTTGAGCCTCTTTGTTCTCTGAAAAATGGGGATAAAATGTTTGTCTTTCCAACCTTACAACGTTGTAAGATCAAACGAGTTTGGTGGGTTTTTTTGTTTTTTTTTTTAAGCTCCAGAAATGGAATCTATGTTGGCTGGAATCTCAGCTTGTGGCGGGGGACTTGAGGGAGGGTATGTAACGCGTGCTCCCTATGCCCTCCACCCTCACCCCACCTGGCAGGTCTAGCCCGGCCCAAGGGGTTGGGGGCTCCCAGTGCCGGGAGGGACCCCATTAAGCATGCAGGCATTTCGGTCCCATTTCCAAGTGACAACAGCTAAGGGGCCAATTTGCCCATGAATAAAGATTTAAATGGGAACAGAGCTTGGAGGCCCTTGAAACACTCCAGGAGCGGTGGTTGGTCTGAAACAGGCCAAGGCCTTGGTAGCCCCCAGCAGCCTGGTTACCTGTCACCCCTATCCCTGAAGACCCGCCCAAACGTGGCCACAGCTCTTGGAGAGGCCTCAGCGCCACAGCCCCAGGGCCAGCATGATAAGAAACAGCTGTCGCTCTGCCTCAGGCGTGCTGTGATCTCATGCGCTTTCATCATATGAACTTGAAAACATGAGAAGGGGTCTCTGCCCCGTGAATAAAATCTCTGAGACACGGGGGAACGTTTTCCAACATCACTTCACTTTGCACATCTATTCAGTGGGGTTTCTGGGGTTGGCAAAGGACCCAGCTTAGAGTCCAGCTGATACTGTTTAGAAGGGGCGGGGCTGCTGCTCGAGTCATGAAGGAGTGATTACAGTCTGGTCCGGATTGCAATGGCCAGAGCTTGAATTTGGGGGGCGGGGTGGGGGAAAGGGTCTGGTCCAAGGGCTTTCCAAAGTGACAGTCCTTCCTAAGATCACTGTCTCAAGGTACATAGGAGCAAGGGGCACGCGAGCCAGTATTAGCTGATACGGGATCTCAGCACGAACCTGCAGGGAATCCCATAGAAAGAAAATGCTGACATTCCCTTCCCTTCAGAAGGCTGGCGAAAATGGCTTTTTAACACTTTCTCCAACATTTGCTGGTCTCTTCTTAAAAAGCGGATGGCTCAGGGCAGGCAACATTAGCCAGGAAGAACTTGAACACACCGATTTTTCCTTCTCCTTTTTATTTAGTTTCCTTCTATTTCTAGCAAGTGCTAGTTTTCCATTTATGGTGAAAGCTTCACCTTTAAAAATAATGTAAGTGAAAAAACGGAGTCAATCTGAAGAAGAATACTGAATTAGGACTATGTAGCACAGCGGTTTGTGGGTATGCCAGACACTGTGACGGGCCAGGAGGAGGCTCGAGAATGAGGGCAGTACTGTTTTGGGGGAATCCACTGCCATTCTCACTCGGTTTGGAGTTCCGTTGTTTACAGGCCAATGAGCCCACAACATTTCTCAAGTTGGAAGCCCTCTGCTGGCCCTACAGTGCTGGTGGGCAGTCTGGAATGACTTGGGAGATGGAAAGAAATATCTACAGAGAGGGCACCAGTGGCGCAGAAGGGGCTGAGGCTGTTTTCCTGCAGCGGTTGTTAAGAAAGGCACATGAGCAAGACAGAGTTCTGTGATCCATTAGCAATGTCTGCCACGGGCACGGGGATTGCAGGATGTGTGCTGCATACTCAGCATCCCTGATCTGGATCAACCCCTCCATTTTACAAATGAGGATACGGATGGGCCAAGAGGTGCAGCAACCTGCCAGCCATGGACTCTTTCTGCTTCCACAACAGTGTCCAAATTTCTATGCAGGATCCTCTTGCCCCCTGGGGCCTCCTGCACAATGACCCAGGATCCTGGTGAGGTGGCTGGGCCTCTCCACCTTGGCTTCCACTAGGCGGCACCACTTTAGGCTCTTGTATACATGAAGGAGGGTGTGACCCAGCATCCTGCAGCCCCGACCTTGTGGGTCCACGCTGCATGGGGCAACCATTAGTGAAGGATCCAATAGGGCCTGGGCTCTTCCACTGCCCACGATCCTTACTGCCCATAGCGGGGCTCCAAGACTTTAAAATACTTGGAAATCCTGCTCTACACCATCTCTTGTGTTATTTTTTATCTCTTAAATAATTTATTTATTTTGAGAGAGAGGGGGAGAGAGAGTGCATGTGAGCAGGGGCAGGCAGAGAGAGAGGGAGAGAGAGAATCCCAAAAGGGCTCTGCACTGATAGCACAGAGCTCGACGTGGGGCTCGATCCCTCCCACAAACCATGAGATGGTGACCTGAGCTGAGATCAAGACTCGACACTTAACTGACTGCACCACCCAGGCACCCCAGACCATCCCTTACTTTATAGTTGGGGCTATGAGGTCACAGAGGAGAAGGGACTTGCCCTGGCCACGCAGAGGGCAGATAGGAGGGTTGGAACCAGACTCAGCGTTCCTCTTGGGAGCGGGTGAGGAGCTCTGCTCTGGAATGCTCTTTTTCAGATCTGAGGAGCAGCAGAGTCCCTTCGAGATGCAGGAAGGGAAAATGGTCTCTTACGCAGCTCACCGAGAGGCTACGGCTTCTGCTCGCAGTCACACAGTGTCTGTGGCGAGTACTCCGCCAGCGATAACAGAAGCTGTCTTGTGCCACAACCTTACAGGCAAAAGCACGTGCAGCCCTGAAATCAAGGAGCTGCATCAGTTTCAAGATCCAGATGAACCCACTTCCTGCAGAGAAGGCTCCTGGGAATGAGTCTGAGGGCGCCCAGGAGACGCAGACCCTGGTTTAAGTAAGAAACCAGCTTTAAAAGGAGGGTGCAAACCCCCTCTTCCATTAAGCTCCCACAATGATTGGGTTGCTGGGTTGGCGGATTCCGAGGACAGCCTGGTAATGGCTGGCTGGGCTCCAGTCTCTGACAATATGCTGGCCTAAGGTGGGGGAGCCCAGTCTGAGGTGGGTAGGAGGCAGGGAGGGGGAGAGAGATGGGGGAGAGGGAGAGGCAGATGGATGGGCTCCGAGGGCTTAACTAATGGGAAACATGATTCTGCCGCTCCCCGTGGAGGCCACGAGTTCCCTCTGGTTCCGATCTGCCGGCTCTCCCCAGCTGTCTGCCCAACATCTGGCCTATGTAGGTCAGCACTCCCAGCCACTTTCTGGAATTGCAACACCCTGCAGTTTGTCTGATTTCCCAGCACCCCCGAGCAGCACCGCCACCGGATGCGCTGAAGACCGTGTATTTATCTTTCCAGAGAAGGTACATGAAGTCTATTCCTGGAGAGATGCTGCCAAGTGTCACCATGTCCTGGAGACCTAGGAAGCCATCGCAGGGTGTCACAGCGAGGCAGGACTAAGGTGAGCAGGGGCCCAAGACAAGATTACTGACCATGTTGGGGGCTGTGCAGCTAACACTGGCCCTATGCTAAGTGCTTTGTGAACACAGCATGCGATCCTCATGAAACGCCTGCCAGGAAGGTACTCCCCCACTCCCAACCCCCGCCCCCACCCGCCCCGCTCAGGTCACGGGGGGGAAAACCCAGGCCCGAAGTGGTGATGTGGCACGCCTGAGGTCACCAGCTGCGAAGAGCAGGTGACATCAGATGGATCCTGGCCTATTCGGCCTCTGAGGTCCTGTTTCCTCCTAGCTTCCCAAGGCCAGGCCTCCAGTGTCCTGGCCCCAGGCCAGAACTTCCCTGTCCCCACATCAGCGGCAGGAATCACCAAACTCAGGCTCTACAGCGAGTGACACATTGAGGGTGGCCGGCTGCCAACGTTTTTTTTTTCCCCCCCAATCTTTTCAATTAAGTGAATGCTTGGAATGGGGCCCAAATCCAAGTGCTTATGGAGTTAGCTGCAGATAAGATGCTCTGGTTTAGGGCTGTGTTCAGACCGCTCCTCGCCCATAGGGCACGCAGTGGGGCTGAGGGTCCCTGAAGACCTGTGGGCAGAGGAGTGCCAGGCAGGGAGGTGGGACAAAGGGGTGCTCTCTCTAAAGTGAAAATCTAACTGTGTCTCTCGCCTCTGCTTCGAACACTTCAGTTCATTCAGCCACTCATGCGTCCAGCCAATACAGACAGGGTGCCTACTGTGTACCAGGCTCCCTTCCAAGAGCTGGAGCCTCTGCCCTTCTGGAACCTTCAGCCTTGTCAAGGAAGACAACAGTAGCATGCCATGGGGTTTAGGGGGCCTCCTCCCAGCGAGGCTCTCCCTGGCCTCTTGGCCCATGCCATGGCCTTTGGCAGCAAAATCTCTCCCTTTGCCTGTCTAGTGCCTCTTGACCACTCAGGGGTCAGCTCAGAAAGCCTTTGAAGACCCCACATCTGAGTCTGGCCCCATTCTCTGGGTTCCCACAGCCCCTGGGGCTGCCCTCTCAGTACACATTCCTCCGGGTGTGCTGCTCTGTTTGCACGACCGTCACCCCCTCTCCCCTGGGAGCCCTGAAGGCGCAGGGGCCACATCCATCGGGGGCAGCATGGCTTTGCCAGTGCCTGGCGACATTAGGCCCTTGGGAAATGTCTGGTGAATGACAGAAAGGCAGACAGACGGAGAGACAGGCAGGCAGGCAGGCAGGCAGGCAGGCAAAGTGACCAAAGGCCAAGAACAGGGCCACACAGTCATAAATCAAGGTGATCTCACTCAAGGCTCTCTGTGTCTGGAGAGTAACAATGCTCTTGAAAGGGCTGAATGGACAGCTCAGCAGCCAAGGGTACTAGAAACAGAACCAGCTTTGTGACACTGGAGAATGCAGGCATGGGGCCCGCATCGGGCCCTAGGCTTCTGGGACAGGCGATGGAGAAAAAAAGCACGGCACAGGCACACGTTCAACGGCAAGTGGAAGTAGTGTCCCACCAGGCCCACCTGTGGGAGTTCCTCAGGGGGATACGGAACGGTTCCATACTCTGTCTGTGCCGGGGGTTACCAGAACCCATACACACATAAAAACTGAGGATGCCACACCAGAGATGGAATTGTACCACACACAACTAACAATTAAAAATAACAATCACACGCACGCACACACCAATCGCTCCTTAATGTCATTAAAAACCAGGCAGGTGCAGGCTTTGGAGTACCCCGGTAGGAATCTCCGCGCTGTTGAAAGCTGCTGCGTGACTTTGCACGTTCATACACGGCTCCAAGCCTCTACATTTTCTCGTCTATAAAACGGAGACAACAGTACCTGCTCTTTAGGGTTGGCTAAGGATCACAGGAGCTAATGCACGCAAGGTGCTTGGCACACTGCCTGACTACAGGCGCCTTCCAGCACCATCCCTGATAACCCCATTACAGAGATGAGGCACTGGAGGCTCGGCCAGTCTGTCTCCCCCGGGGCCAACTCAGATCTTTCGAGGTAAGCTGTGTTACAAAGGACAAGTCAGGAATGTCGTGCTGTGAAACCCACGCAGCCATCCCCCCTTGTGTGCCTGCACACAGAGCTGCTCACCCCTAGAGACTGGGTTTCCCTCCCTGCCAGAGTCTTCTCCAGATGGTGGGCAGCAGGAACCCCTGCCCGGCTGCCTGGGCTACCTCCATTCTTCTAAACTGAGACATGGAACTGATGGAAACACTCGCTGGTCCGGGTGTGCTGCTCCCGCCTGAGCCTCTGGCTGCCAACCACGTCCTCGCACACATCTGGCCCGAAGCAGCACGGGGAATGTTCCAATGGCAAGCAGAGGTACTGGCAGCTGCAGCCCAGGCTTGCTGAGACCAACCTGCAGGCTGGCTTTCTAGGAAAGCCTCCAGGGCAGGCACTTAGGGCTTGTGGGGATCTCCAAGGCTGCCCGGCCTCAGGGGAGCCCAGGGCCATGCAGGGAACAGAGCGGAGAGGTTTCCAGCTGGGACCCGTCCTGCCTTAATGGGGCTGCCTGGAGAGGACTGGGCAGCCAACGTGAGCACCCACTATGTGCAAGAGGAGCACCCACTATGTGCAAGACATACAGCCAGTAGGGATAAAGCTGCCCAAGTAATGAAAAAGAGTCAGAAGGGACCGCATTTATTGGGCTGATCAGGGGGCTATGCCAAGAACTTCATTTATGTTACGTCATGGGATCTGGAGACTCGGAAAGGGCAACTGGCTTACCCAGGGTCACATGGCCACCGTGTGACATGGCCAAGATCTAAACCCCAGCTGTGTGACACGGTGGGAAAAACTCAGTATACGTGGTCAGATGGGTCTCAGTTCTTACCTAGAGGGCCCAGCGCAGTGCCTGGGACATAGCGGGTACTAACAGAGACCACATCACAGGCCACAGCTCCCTAGAAGCACTCTACAGACGCTGCGGGGGCGCAGAGGGGATGAGGGCTAATTCTGCGGGGAGAACTTAGAGAGCCTTTCCAGATGAGGGAAAAAAGAAAAAAAGCAAAAAACCAAAACAACTGTTCTGGATTTTGAGGGATGAGGAGTTTTCCAAAGGAGGACCAGCACCTAGTGACCACTCAATCCCCAGAACTCTGCTCTCAGGAAACCCCATGGAATGAGATTTACTAGCCACCCCATTTCACGGCAGAGGTTAGATCACTGCCCCAAAGCCATGCAGCTGGGTAAGGAGAGTGCCAGAATTTGAACCAGATTCATTTTGCTTCAGAATGCCCATTCCCTAACCGAGAAGACCAGGTAAAAAGGAGTCACGTGGACCGTAAGCAAGTATGTTCATCTCCCCTGGCTCCGACGAACTGCAGAGCCTACTTCGAATCCTGCCTCTACCACTTACCAGCCAGGTGCCTTTGAGCAACAGGTCTCTGTTTTGAAATGTAAATGAGGCCACGACATATGTGGTGTCAAAAAGTGCCAGGGAGCAGCAGGCACTCTCTAGTGTATAGATTACAGGAGAGCATAAACCAGTACATGCCCCCACCACACATTACTGTCCCCGACACGTTCTCAGGCCTGGCTGCACAGTACATTTGGGGTGCTTTTTAAAACTCCAGAGTGTGACTCTGGCCAGACCCTCCCAAAGGCTGGGCTCAAACCCTGGGTTCAAATCCTAGCTACATGGGCCTGGGGAAGTCCTGTCTCAGCCTGCTTCTCCATCTGTAAAATGGGGTAACAGTGGTGCCTACCTGCAGCTACTCAAAAAAGAATAACTGTTACTTCTCCCTCATCCTACAGTTGGTGGGTGCGAGGCAATGAAATGTGTGCAGAGGCCTGGCTAGTCTGGATCCTGCAGAGATCAGAAGACCCCAGAAGTCTGGCACCTTCTAAAACAAGGTCAAAAGGACTTGGGACTTTCAAGTTGGGAGGGAGGTCAGTGGAGGAGGAGATGGGGGCCAGGGTGGCTGGAAAGATGCAGGACAGATGACAGAGCAAGGAATGGGGCAGCCAGCCAGCTCTCATCCTGGGTCCTCCCCACCCCACTGGCTCATGCTGCCCCCTTGCTGGCTGTCTCCGCCACCACACAGCCTCGCCACCTCACAGCCTCGGCTCAGGCCTGGGTCACCTCATTTTGGAGGCCAGCGGCCGCTCCCTCAGGGTCCTCCTGCCCCTCTGCTCACCTCAACAGGGATATTTCTAAAACAGAGCATCTGACCAGATTTCCTTCCTCCTTAGAGGCTCTCAGTGCTTCCCTCGTAATGAAAAACAGCAAAACAACAACACAGATTCACATTTAATGAGCACTTCCTTACTACCAGCCATGCACATACCGGTTAATCCTTACTCCCTTATGGGGCAGGACCTACTTGTTTCCCCATTTTATAGATGGGGTAACTGAATCTGGAAAAGCCGATGGCCTTATTTAGTTCAGGCCAACACAGTCAGCAGCCTGGGTTTCTGCAAGGGCTCCTTGTCTGCCCTCCTGTCCCGAGTGGCCATTTTGGCTCTGCCTCAGTGGGGCTGTGGTCAAGGGCTGGACAAGGGGACACTGTGCCTGGATCCAGGGTCTAGATGCCAGGAGGACCTGTAACCAACAGGTGAACAGGAGGGTGTGGGAAGAACACTCCCAAAGGATGGAAGATAACAGACACAAGTCCTTATCAGCCTCCAGTCCTCCAACCAAGGCCAAAGGCACTGCAGCAGAAAACTGTGGACGCAGAGATAGTCTGACCGAGGGCCAGGAATGTGGGGACCCCCAGGCGGCATCCTGGGGGGTCTCTAGTCCACAGTTGCCAGCTGCTGGGCCAGGGGGGCCCAAGAGAATGCTGGGAGCTCTCGCAGCCACGGGGCGAGGCAACACCACACAGGACGGGCAGCTCCGCCTCAGGGCAGCAACAGTGCCAAGCACAGACTCTGAGTTGGACCAACTCCCTCTGTAACACTTCCTCGAGCAAGCTACTGAGGAGCCTCAGTTTCCCCACCTGTAAAACAGAGATGCTAATAGTATTTCCCATCCCTCCGGGTTGCTGTAGTATATATAGTG